CTCCTCCTCCTCCTCCTCCTCCTCCTCCTCCTCCTCCTCCTTCTCCTCCCCAGATCTCCGACGTTGTGACTTCTTCGCAGCGAGGACCCCTGGAGGTCGGACATCTTTTACAGGACGTTCCTGCGTCGACGGCCCTGGGGCCCAACAAAGGCCCACCAACGGCGCACAATGTGCAAAAAACCCGGCCGTGATTTCGCATCACGACGCGAGGAGGCCTGGGCCCCTCCTCTAGGACTTGAATGCTGTGATGGTGCACTTGGCTCAAGATGCGCTCCAAGAATTCCTGGCGGCCCTCGTTTCTGCAGCCGGTGTGGAGCACGAAGAGATATTGGAAACCCTGGGAATCGTGGAACGCATGATTACCATGACTCCTTGCTCCTCCATCCCGAGCCTGCTGGACGAGCGCGCCCACGCGAGGGAGGCGCGGCGAGGCCGAGGCCGCGTCATCGCTTCTTCTTGCCAGCCAGGGCGGCGAAGTCCTGGCACCGCGCGGGCGACGGAGGCGGGCAGGTGCAAAGCTCCAGCGCCGCGTGCCCGGCCACTGAGGCCCCCTGCTCCGGGCTGAGCGCCCCACGCTGGACGAAGGAGGTTCCCGGCGCCGCCCGCCGCGCGTCCCCCGGCCCTGGCCACTGAGGCCCCCCCCCCCGTCCCAGCCGACCGGGCCACGCTGTACGAACGAACCTCGCGCCAGGTCGGGCATGTCCTCCCACAGGCGGAGCTTGGGAGAAAAACCTGATCGGACAAGAACGGGAAGCGCCGCTGTAGTCTAATGGGCGTATTGGGCGAAGAAGAAAAGGAAGGCGAGGACAACGAGGAGTCGATGACGAGGACGACGTGGCGAACGTGAGGATAGCGAGGAGGAGCATGAGGACAACGAGGAGGAAGAGAAGCACAAGGACGATGACGAAGAGAACGAGGGCGAGTACGAGGAATGCGGAGGGCGATGATGACGACGACGACGACGACGACGACGACGACGACGACAGAGGACAGTGCGAGGCAATTGGAGAAAGACGTTGCTCCTGGCGCCGCGCGGGGTTCTCTTGGGGCCTGTTGGGGGCTTCTTGGGGGCCCCTTGGGTCCTCGTATGGGCTTCTGGGGTCTTCTTGGGCTGTCTGGGCGCATCGTGGGGTTCTGTGGAAGCTTTCTTAGGCTGTCTCGGCGCTGGGGGCCTCCTGGGGCGCTCCCGGGAGTCTCCTGGGGCTTGGCCCTTCTCCGGCCGTCTTGGGGTTCTTGTGAGCTGTCTGGGTGGCTCCTAGAGCGCTCTTGGTGGTCTCTTGGGGTCTTCTTGGGGCGCTCTTGGGCGCTCCTGGGGCTCTCCGGGCTGTCTTTTGGGCCTCCCTTGGGCCGCTGGAAAGCCCTCCAAGAGCGATTCGAACACGACAACGATGCGGAGTCCCCTCTTGGGCCGATTTTTGGAGTATGTCTCAAGCGAAACGGCCATTTTTCAAAAATCCGCCAGCGCAGTTTCAAAGTGCAGCGCGCACCCGATTCTAATTTTTACCACCAACAAACGGTCCACGCCAGGGGCGCTTCCCGTCATCCGCCGGCCCCCTTGTGGGGCCACCAGGCTGCGAGGGTGAGGATTGCAGCTCCCTGTTCCAGTTGCAGCTTCCAGTTTCCACTGTTACAGTCCTGCTTTCTGCTTCCTTATTGTCAATTGTCGCTGAACGGGGGGGGAGCCAGTTTTTCTACCACGCCCAGATCGCGTTATCTGAATTCCTGGGGGGGGCGTGAGACACGTAAAAGTACATGATACTCGCGCCCCCGAGGCCCTCATCCCTAGTAAATTACGCCAAATTCGCGACCCCGAGGCCAGAAACCATCGTCAATCACACAATGCTCGGGTCCCCGAAGCCATAATCCCGCGAAAATTACCCGATAGTCGCGTCCCCGAAGCCATATACCCATGTACATTACACAATATTCGCGCCCCCGAGACCATAAACCTGCGTAAATTACAAAATGTCCGCGCCCCCTGAGCCATGAACCTTCGATAATTATACCAGATTCGCGTCCCCAGGGACATGTACCTTTGTAAATTACACCATGCTTGCCTCCCTGAGACCACAAACCTTTGCAAATTACGCTATATTCGCGTCCCCGAGACCATATCCTTTCTGTAAAGTGTTAATTACATGTTTGCGCCCCCGAGGCCATAGACCCTTACAAATGTTATAGTATTTGCGTCCCCGAGGCCACAAACCTTAGTAATTTACGCCATGTTCGCGTCCCCGAAACCATAAACCCTGGTAAATCTATATATAGATATATATATAAATAGGCCCTCGCGTGAAGTCCCGACATTGCTTCACGTCAGCGTCTAGAAATCCTAACACAGCTCGGGCAAGTCCCATTCTAAGAGAGGGGACCGGCGGCATGGGGTCGAAACCCTTACGGATAAAAGATTGTCAAAAATATCCGCCAGTCCCCTCCGGGGGCGCAAGGCTGCGAGGGTCTGTGCGGTCTGCTGTCATGTGTTATGTGTTGTCATTTTTTGTTTGCTGTCTGCTAAGGGGCCCCGCCGCGTCCCCAAACAACCAACGGTGGGGGTGAACCTCAAATCCAGGCTGCTCCGGGCCACCCCAAGATTCTCATGGCGACGCCACCGCGCGGCCAGAACGGCCCGAGAGGCCTCCAAGATTGCCCGACGAGGCTCCGAAGAGAGCCTCACGAGGCCAAGACGACCCAAGATGGCCCGAAAATGTCCCTCGATGGCCCCAAGACGGCTTTTCGACTTTCCGACGCTCCGAGACGGACCAAGAGGTTCCCAAGATCGCCCCACGACGGCCCTAGAAGCCCCCATGACGGCACAAGAGGCCCCTACGACGACCCCAAGACGGCCGAAGAATGCCCCAAGTCGGTCCAAGAGGCGCCCCAGACGGCCCAAAAGGGCCCCAAGACAGTTCCAAGAGAAGCCCAAGAGGTAGTCCACGAACCGAAAACTCAAACTTTCGGCCCCGAGAAGGCCCCAGGAGGCCCCAAGAAGGTCCCCAGAGGCCCCAAGAGGCCCCCAAGAGGCCCCAAGGAGGCCCCCAAGAGACCCAAAATGTTGTTTCCAAGAGGCCCCAAGGAGACCCCCCAAAGGCCCCAAGGAGACCCCCAAGATCAAGAGGCCCCCAAGAGGTCCCAAGGACCACGCGCAGCCTCCCGCACTAGTAATAGGGGGGCCGGCGGCAGAGGGCGAAGCCCTAGATCCGGCCGCTCCCGCCCTGCAGTGTGGGCCGTGCGAGACCTCTCTGACAGAGTGTTTGGCACAATCTTTGGTCCCCTTCGCCAGTGCCTGGTCAAAAACCTCCTGAAAGTCCCTCCGAGGGGCCCCACTCTGCCGCCGGCCCCCCCCGCGGCTTTAAGGTCCGGAACGTTTGGAACGGCCCGGGGACGACCCAAGAGCGTTCCAAGACGGTCCAAGAGAGTCCCAGGACGGTCCAAGAGAGCCTCCAGACAGTTCCAGATCACTCCAAGATGCCCAAGATGGCCCCCAGACGGCCCCAAACGCTTCCAAGACGCCCCAAGAGACCTCCGAAAGCACCCCCAAGAGGGCGCCAAGAAATAAAACTCATTGATGTTTCGATGGTTTTTGAAGGATTTTGGCGTTCTCGCCATTTTGGCTTCCCGACATTCCAAAACGGCCCAAGAGGCCCCAAAGATCGCCCCAAGACGGCCCAAGAGGCCCCCAAGGGGACTCCAAGACGGCCCAGGAGGGCCCCAAGACGGCCCAAGAGGCCCCAAAGATCGCCCCAAGACGGCCCCAGGACGGCCCCAAAAGGGGGCCCCGACGGGGAACCCGAATGACCATTTCGAGCTTTCGGTCCCAAGAGGCCCCCAGGAGGACCTAAGAGGCCCCCAGGAGGCTCCCAAGAGGCCCCAAGAGGCCCCCAAGAGCCCCCAAGAGGGCCCCAAGAGGCCCGGAAGAAGCCCCCAGGAGGCTTCCAAACTGCCCCGCAGAGGCACCCGAGAGCCCCCTCGAGAGACCCCAGGAAGCGTCCATGAGGACTCCGACCAGAAGCCCAAGCACGGTGGCGGGATGTTCCGACGGCTATTATTTGATAGCTGGCATGCGCGCTGCGTCACGACTTTCGATGCTGCGCACCACTTCGACAAACTCCCAGGGAGCGGCCGGTGATGCGCCGCCGGCGTCCTCGACCCGGCCGCTCCCGTCCTGCGGTGTGGGCCGTGCGAGACCACTCTGTCCAAGCGTCTGGCAGGATGCGTCCGGGCCTGGTCAAACCTCCCAGAAGTCCTTCCTGTGGGCCCACCCTCTGTCGGCGGTCCCTCGTAGACCCCCCTCCGCGCAAGGATTCCAAAGGGCTGCTGACGTCTGAAGGGCCCCCCAAGGGACAACCCCAAATCGCCCAGACACGGTCCAAGAGAACCCCGAAACAGTCGAAGACAGCTTCCAGCTGCCCACGATGGCCCCCAGACGTCTCCAAGACGCCCGAAGAGGCCTCCAAGAGCATCCCCGAGAGGCGCCCAAGAGGCAAAAATCATTGAGTTTCCAATGCTTTTAAAGGATTTTCGAGTTCTCGCCATTTCGGCTTCCTGTCGATTCAAAAGACCCACAGATCGCCCCAAGACGGCCCAAGAGGCCTCCAAGAGCGCTCCAAGACGGTCCCAGCGAGAGCCAAGACGCAGAGGGCACCAAGACGACCCAAGAGGGCCACCAGACGGTCCAAGAGAGAGGCCAAACTGGGAACCCGAACGCACACCTCGACCTCTAGGTTCCAAGACGCCCCCATGAGGCCCCCAAGAGGCACCCTGAAGGCCCCAAAGAGGCCACCGAGAGACCTCCAAAGAGGCCCCAAGAGCGTCCATGAGAACTCAGACTCACATCCCACGCACGCAGGTGGAATAGTCTAAAGCTTGATTGCTGACATGCTTTCAACTCGCACCCGCGCGCCAGAGAGTGAGCGGCGTCCACGCGAGTCCGCGCTGCGGGCAGCGTGCAATTGGCGGCTCGGGCGTGGGGAGCTTCCTGCAGGTTACACCTCACTCCAAGACGCCCAAAATGGCCCCCATACGTTTCCGATACGCCCCAAGAAGCCTCCAAGATCATCCCCGAAACGGCCCAAAGAGGCTTCATTCATTGCTTTTCCTTGTTTCTTGCAGGATTATCGGTCCTCCACATTTTCGCTTCCCGCCGCTCCACGACGGCCCACGAGGCCCCAAAGATGGCCCCAAGACGGCGCAAGAGGCCCTCGAGAGAGCTCCAAGACGGCTCCAGCGACCACCACGAGGGCCTCGGACGTCACCACGACGGCTCCGAACGGCACCAAGCCGTCCCAAGAGGGCCTCAGGACGAGCGTACATTTCAACTTGTACGTGCGACGACGCGCGCCAGATGCCCACAGGAGACCCCCAAGGAGCTCCCCAAGAGCTCCCCAAGCTGCACACGGTGGCATCACAACGCCTCCTGGGCGCCCAGAGAGGCCTCCAAGAGCCGGCCCTGCACGTCCCGACAGGTACCTTTCACTCACGTTCCTGTGGTCTTGGTACGCCGCTCCACGACGGCCCCGGAGGCGGCCGATACCTTGCTCCAAGTGGCTCCAAGTCTACGCTTCGCACGGAGAGACGCGCTTAAGATGCCCACTGCAATCCCCCAAGAAGCCCGCAGCGGCCTTTCGGAGGCCACCAACAGCTCCCCGAGGTGCACACGGAGGCCTCCAGACGCCTCCAGAACGCCCTGACTAGGGGAACCGAACTCTATACACCAACGTTTTTTCCGGCCCTGCGCTGAAACTCTCACCAGAAGCGGATCCTGGTGTATATGGGGTCCTGGTGTATACATTCTCCGTGGTTTCCCTGGGGCAACGGGGAAAAGTATACACCACACCGCCCCAACGCCGCCCCCGACCCTCAAAAAGTCCTGGGATTGAAAGAGAGCCCGCCACTGGTAATGTATATGCTCCAGTTTCCGACCGACTGGTCTCCATGCGCCCCCGCGACACGTGGAGCGCGCCAAAGGCCCACAGGAATGCCCGAAGAGGCCCGCAGCGGCCCCTCCGAGGCCCCCAGCAGCTGCCCCAAAGATGCGCACGCTGGCCTCCAGGCGCCTCCCGAGTGCGCTCTGACGGGTCTCCGAGCGCCTCCCCGACACGTCCTCACCAGCAGCTGCCATCGAGTCTCCTGTGGTTTTGCTCCGCCGCTCCACGACTTTCGAGTCTGCGCGCCACTTCGACAAACTCCCAGGGAGCGGCCGGTGATGCGCCGCCAGCGCTCTCGATTCCAAGAATCGTTCCCAGAATACTTGTTGACTATTCAAGTCGTCCCCAGCCCCCCAACAAAATCCTCCCCAGACTATGCAGAGGGACATGGCCGACTGAAAGCTCGGGGCGTCCCTGGCCGCGCGCCCGCGGCCCGCCGCGGGGGGTGGGAGCCACAGTCGTCGTGCCAGCGTGGGGAGCGCTGAGGAGGCAGCAGAGGGGCCCCCTTCTGGCCACGGCGAGCCTCGGCCCAGGGCAGGCTGCCCGACCGGGGCCCGAGGAGCAGCCCGAAGACACGAGCCCCTCCTGAGCCCAACGCGGTCCTCCTCTGGGTCTTGGCTGCCGCACGCAGCGCAGAGCCGATCGCCATCCCTCCTCGTCCTCCCCCGCGCCCGCCCCCGCGACGATCGAAACGAGGATCGACGCCTCAGCACGCCTCCGAGCCCGTTCGCGCCTTCCGAGGCCTTCAGGGGCCGCCGAAGCCTGTGGGAACCTTCGGTGACACCTTGGGAGCCTCCCATACCATCTTGTCGCCTCTTGCGAATCGACGCTAATCGACGCTGAATCGGCGCTACCCCATCGACTCCAGACGCTAATCGACACTAGTCGACGCTGAAGCGCTTTTCAGACGGAGGGGGTGTAATGACCAGGCTCCCACGAGTTGCCACCAAGGGGAACCTCCTGTCGGTGCCCCAAGACAGTGCGGTGACAGACCGCGCGGGGATAGACCGTGCGGTGACCTCGAAATGCGAGAAGACCTCACCGCACGGCCGGCCACCGCACCGCTCTGGGACCCTCGGAGAGGCCGCAGTCCCCCGAGGCATCCTCGGAGAACGACCCGAGTTCCAAAACCGTGCGCTCACTCCGAATCCCCACGCACTCACCCAGGACACGGGGTAATCACCGCACGGGTGAGGGGGCCCTGAACCTCCTGTCCAGGGACCTCTGGATCGAGGAGTGGCTAAGGACACCCTTTGGCAGAACGCCCTCTGGTGAAAGTGCAGAGGCACTCCACGTGAGCACGGCACCGCACTCCGAGGGGACCCAGGCGGGACAGCAAATCGACGTCCAACCACCAGCGAATCGATCCGGCAAGACACACAAACACACACACACACACACACACACACACGCACACATCAATGAGCGACATTGGCCAGAGGCTACACCGATGCACTCGAGTGTCCATGCATGCCGAGTGCACCGGTGCAGAGCTCCTCCGTCGACTCGTGTGGGTGGGCGGTCTGCGGGTGGGCCCTCCTCCGGTCCTGTGCAGGTCGCCCTCCTCGCGCCCTCCCCCCCGCGCCCCGCGCGCCCCCTCGCGCCTCCCCGTCCCCCGTGCCCCCATTCGACTCCGCAGTCGACTCGACTCGGTGCCCGACCGGAGACCCCTGGGAGACCTCCGCCGGCCTCCCCAGACCCCCGACGTCATGATTTTTTCATGACGCGACCCCCAGAGGTCCGGACCCATTCCCCGGGACTGGTTTTTCATCCTGAGTCGTTTTTTGACGGTCCTGAGGCCCGGTAAGGGCCCCCGGAGGCCGAAGATAGCGAAAAACCTCGCGTCGTGATTTTTTCATGACTCGAGGGGGTCTGGGTCCGGCGCCCTGCGGCCACCTCCAGCGTCCTCCAGCTGCCTCGAGCGCAGCCTCTGGCGGCCCCTCCGGCGGCCCCTCTGGCGCTCTGCGGCGGCCTCCGGCGGCCTGGCCTCCCGCGGTCTGCGGCGGCCACTCTGCGCGAGCGCTGGGCGGCTGCGTTTTGGCACGCGAGCTGCGGCGGTGGCCGGACATTCCACAGCGGCGCGGGGCAAGCCTCCGACGTGAGTGAGTCACCTCAAGCAGGAGAGCCCAAAATCGAATCGGTAAGTCGGATCGGCGATCGAAATTAATCGGATCGGCAGAAATCGGCAGCCGAGTCGGGAAAAGTCGAATCGGCCGAAATCGGCAGGCTAGTAGCCCTCCAGTGAGAAGTCGGCACCCGAATCGGAATCCCAAATCGAATCGAATCGGAATCGGAAGCCGTCGAAGTCGAATCGAATCGATTCGAGGGAATCGAAACGAGTCCTGCCTCAAGTCAGGGAACGAAGGCACTCTTGGGCCTCAAGTGCGCAGGGGTGCGACGAGGAGCGTGAAGGAAGAAAACCCCAGGAGCCGCTCTCAAGGAGCGTCGGGCGCGGAGGAGGAGGAGGAGGAGGAGGAGGAGGAGGAGGAGCGTCTGCTCCCCATCTCGACCGCACTCGCCCAGACCTCCGACGTCGTAGCTCGCCGCTGCCGCCGGGGAGGAGCGGGGTCGGAGGCAGGGGCGGCGCGGAGGGCCTGAGGTGGCACCCCTGGCCGGGCTCTTCGGCACCCCGAGTCCTCCTCCTCCTCCTCCTCCTCCTCCTCCTCCTCCTCCTCCTCCTCCTCCTCCTCCTCCTCCTCCTCGGTGGCGCCCGACAACGGCCGCATTCTGAGCAGGGGGCGTGTTCCAAATCGACCACGCCCGCGGGGTCACCCGACGGCGAGAGGCGGCGGTTCGTCGTCGCCACAATTGTTTCCCGTCCCCAGTTCGATTCCTCCGAGGTCCCCAGAAGCGCGACCGTTTCCCCAAGGCTGGCATTCCATCCCGCGCCATTTTTGTTCACGGTCCTGGGGGCCGAAGGGGGTCCCAGGAGGCCGAAATCGAAGACGTTGAATGTCAGAGGCGTTCGATGTCTGGGACTTCGTCAACTTTCTACCCCATCACCACTTCGGCACTCCTGAAGGGAGCTATCGATCCCTGGGTAGGCACGCCGTCGGGGCACTGCTGCCCAGGCAGCGCCCGAAGGAAAAGCACCATCTGGATTGGAGACTTAGGCGCTGCGGCTGGGCTATCGTCCACCAAGGCGCCGATGACAACGTTTATCGAGTGGCCAGCGGTTCCTTGCTCACTAAGGTGCAGACTGCAGGCCGTGCTGAATTGTATGCCCTCATCCAGCTGCTCCGGAGATCCACTGGCGATGTGATTGTTTTCTGTGATTGTTTGACAGTGGTGCGTGGGGTGAGGAGGTCTATCCGAAGTAAATCCAAGTCCGCTGTGCTGGACCCGGGCGTTGTACCATCGGACACTGGGCTCCCGTGGCGGATCGGTCGAAGCTCGATGGATCAAAAGTCACCCCACCCAGTCCCAAATGTTTCACATGTGTTTGACCCCTGAGGTCTATCTGACCAAAGCCGCGGATGTTTTCGCTTCGAAGACTGCTGAGTTCGGCCAGGTGTCAGATGCTCATGCCAGGCAAACGGCGCTGGCTGACGAGAGGGCCCTCCAGGTTTGAGGCCGCCTCTTGGCTATGCAGACCGTGAGATACAGACCCGTCCGCCTGGGACTCGTGTCAAGAGCTCTCTCAAGAGCATCGGTGTCCGCCTGAGCCGACTGAAGGATGCAGGCCACGATTGGTACCCTGAAATGTGGCCCGTGTTTTAAGTCTTTCTCGAAACGCGGCCCTATGTGTGAATTCTAGCTGTTGCTGTGCAAGCCTCGAGCCGAAATTGTGCAAC